GTCTGCTGTGCTGCCTGCCTGCTGTTGCTCTGCTGTTTGCTGCCTGCTGGCTGTGTTGTTTGCGGCCTGCTGCTGCTGTTGAAGAAATCCTTCCTTGCTCGTGATTATATGACTCACTCGGCTTCTGTTTGTTAGTTTAAAGCTGGGTTTACGCTACCGACTTTGTATTGGCGAATTGTTCTCGACTCACGTGATATTCCAGGTTTTCTTGTTCTCAAGTGTTTAAACAAAGATTTTTTTTTTTTGATGAAATCGATTATAGATTTTGATCCAGGCACTTGGTTCGAAGCCCACTGTCAACGGATGACGCAGTATAACGATGAATCTATTGTACCACAGACTAACGTCGCTTGAGACAAAAGCTAATACCTAGACATCCAATCTCCTCCGATACGACTGTCCTGCAACACTCAAGGTCGAATTTTTAAAATCATGAAGCGACAGACAATAGTTATCAACTGTTGATTATGAATCCAGCAAGAGCGTTGAGAGCCAAATTTAATCTTTATGTAAAACAAACAGATTTAACTGGATCATGTCAGGCAGCAGGCTGAACATAGGTGTAGAACGACCGCCAGCCTCTACTAGTACTTAGAACATTGTATACAAGATGAGTCTTCCTTCGAAAGTAATTACATAATATGTTCGTTAGGCCAACATCTTGTGGGAACGTGATAAATAACATTACTAGTTATTCACAATTTCGCAGAAAATGCCGTATTAGATGCGAGCCCAAAGTAAGCAATACAAACTTCTGCCTCAATCTTTTGTGCTAATACAGCTCGATGTAAAACTGGCGCTATGTGCTCAAGTACCAAAAACCGCTCGAGTACATATGTTCCATGTTTTGTGCCGAATTAAGTTTAACAGCAGTGGTAGTGAGAACCGTACGCTATTTGGTGGCGATATCTAGTCAATTACTTTGAAATTACGCATTCCAGAATGTATAAATCAATTACGGTTTACGTCTCAAGCCAAACGACCAACTGATTCTATAGTTGCAGGCTAACGGCATTATTGTGACAGAAAATCTTCTGACACAGGATGCCATCCAACAGCATGAGCAATGAGATGGGTGCCAATAAAGGCTGACAAGAGTTCTAATTCTGGTGCACTCTATATTTAATCAACTAATTATTCAGTAAAGCATGCAGACATGCTGTTATGTGGCTTAGCAAGTGCCTAACACCACAAGAACAAGTGTTGATGTGTTGTTACGAAAGACCCTAAGATAATCGGCTAGACATTACTTTGCCAACTAACAGTGTGCCCACCACCATCTCTTCTTTATTCAGTGACTCTGGCTGCCTGCGATATAGTGGAGATTGCATATTGGATCATATAATCTCATACTACAATACAATCGTTTATTTAGGTATAATATCTCTCTAGTCGTATGTGCTTATTTTGGCGCAATTAGTCCCATTGGCTAAGATATATCATTAAGTTGGCATATATGCTGCAAGAGTGTACCTGTCAACTTGAAAGTTTATCGGGTGCATAAGAGTCAATGGTCTATTATCCATATATAACCAGTTATGACTCTAATATATTTAATTACAACACTTTAAAGTGCTGACATGGCCGAGCGAGGCACTGAGAGCAACGTATAAAAGCTCGTGCCATTGTTCTGTGAATCACCACAGGTGACAAGAGAGATACGTGACAACCACAAACAGCAATAGAGACAGACATTTACACCTGACTATCTACTCTCAATGGGTTTGTTTTTTGAGCCACTTCATTAGCGTATGTAGACCTATCTATGGCAGGTGAGGAATGCCTAGCAAATGGAATTACAAAGCATGACTTAGCCACGAGCGTATGATGCGACCAGCCTTGGCGTCTGTGTTCGAGTGGGGTCGTATATTCTTGACCTGTAGAGGAGGTGTCCATCAAACTGAGCTCGTGTTGCATAACGATTTGTTCAACCAATGCACCAACCAGCACTCACCCTCGCACACTTTGAAGTATACCGTTGAAGCTTAGACCACAACTACTGATTGCCTTCAAATATCTCTCTTGATGTAATATGTTAAAATGTTAATAATAACTCTTTACTCCTATACGTGCAGGCCAAGCCATCGCCTTCAGTTACCATCCGTCGTGATAACTATATCAACCTTTGAGGCCCATAATTTGCCCTGCTACGACCACCGCTAAACCTAGTTTTCGTTTTGCACACTTCGGACACTATGTCTAACGTTACAATTGCGGGCTCACATCTTCGACCGCGACCTTATCACTCTACACGAGATCGGAAGAAACTTACACCGGGAGAACCATGAGCCGGAAACCTAGTTTCACACAAATACGAGCTCCCTTGTCTATGGTACACTCCCTCGTGCATCGCCAAGGCCACTCGCGCTACTGCCTGCCCCTATGTACGGACAAACTCGACTCTTCTCCTCGAGAGCACATTTAGGCTGACTCCTAAGCACACCAGCTGGACCCTTGCCCCACCCCCATCGGCACCGAATTCAGAGCACTGTTGTACGCGACCTCCAATGCTGTACTCCATTACCAGGGTGACTAGAACATTACCACTTTGAACACTGGGACTCCCTGACCCTCACGCAGAGACGTGCCTTGCAGCGACAGAATCGGCTGGCGGTCCGACCAGGTCTCACAGTGCTTACACATAATGTATCAGATCACTCTCAATAGCGGCATGTGCTATATTTTCCAAGATTCATGCGGTTGCACGTCTAGGCAAAACTTTTCTTTGGATATACTTAGCTGAAAAAAATATCGTATTTCCACGAGGCCGTGCTCTTGAAACGAACTAGTCAGGTATGCGTAGATTTCGGGAGCGCGACGTCACGACGGACTCTGCAACGTCAAATCAGGGAGTCGACAGGTAAATCTGGGGAGTATTTGACTCCGCGACTCGCGTTTATTTCGCACCCTGCTCATTATAAAGTCGCATAACCATCGCCCCCCCCCCCGCGAGTCTGTTATATACGGATATCAACGCCAGCCTCAAACGATCTTCGAAGCTAGGCTGGCCATAGATTGGTATTCACTGTGATAACTACGAGGGTACGAGTGGCGTACAGATTTTCGATGTAGTGTGACGAGAGCGGCAGAACATGGCCAGTGGGAACAGTAAGTAAAACCGCTCACATGTTAGCAGATAGACACACAATTTGTCAAGCAGAAGGATGTCATGAGACGAGCAGACGAAGGTTTCCGCTGCCGCCCGAAACAGAAATTTTTTCCCAAAAATTTCAACCCTCACATCCAGCCAGCCCCATAACAAGGAACGGAAAAACTACAATAGTCTGTGCAGCGATTTTGCACTGCCAATTCGTGGTATAAAGTTCAGTGTGGCAAAACAATATGACTTGTGTTGTGATTCTCGTATAATTTGCATGAACAAAATCTTCTCAGGGGGACATACACTCGTCATTCATGATTGATAATGTCTAAGTGTCACAGTTGATTACATTGGAGCTTCCCTTCTCATATACTTACACATTAAAAACCAGATATGCAGGCCACTGTGCGTGGAAGAGGCTGAACTAAGTGTTGCAACTGTATGTACGCATTCCATATGCTGCTACAGACATTCAATATTCCAACAGCAACATGAGTGCATTTATAACGCCAGACATATTCCCAAAGGCAGCAGCATGTTAGGAATTTACATTATACCTTCCGTCGGTGACTTTCACATTTCCTCGATTAAGCCTAGATGTTTCTTTTTTCTTGTAGGTATATGTAATGCCTATTAAATGCAGTCGAGTATTAATTTCGTGGTACAGGATGGACAAAAAACGCACTTTAAGAAATATTTGAGCAATGTGTTGTTATGGTTCATCACAACACAAACAAACGATAGAAACAGGCGATACTAAATAATCAAAAAAGGGGGCTCATTCAAACACCAGACCACCTACACGTTTCTCACTCCTGGCGCTATCTATATTCAGTTCAACGTGAACCTCGCAGAAAACCTGAATTTCATGGACTGATCGGAGGAGAATCAGCTCATTTGAGTACCAGATGAATGTAGTTTATATGGGAAATCTGCGTGAAATCGCTGCTCAGACTAATTAACATGCCTTCCTCCACGCGATGATAGTTAGGCATAAGCCTTAAATCCGTGTTGTTAATGTAGCTACCTACTGCCAAACGGGTTTGGGGACTACAACTCGACTGATTAGGGAACATATTCCGAATTCATTCTGGCAAAATAAACAGACATTACGTCCAACACTAGATAACTCAGGGGCAGGCACGGGTTAGTGTCCTGAGTGAGGTCCGACAGCCGGGCAGGGGCAGGTAGGCTGGCCGCTTACCCAGGTCTCCGATCCGACAGGGGGCAGGCAGGCGCGTAGAGGCTGCGTTCGGCGAGGTCCGACGGGGTGCAGGCACGCGGTAGGCTGGTGAAGGTCCGACAGGGCAGGCAGCGGGGGTAGGCAGGTAGGCTGGCGAGGATCCTGACAGGGGCAGGCGAGTTGCAGGTGGTAGGCTGGCGAGGGTCCGAGGGGCAGGCAGGTAGCTGGTGAGTCCGACAGGGGCAGGCAGCGTTAGGCTGGCGAGCGTCCGACAGGTGCCGAGCCAGGTTAGGCATTGGAGTTCCGACGGAGGCAGCGGTGGTTAGGCTGGTGAAGTCCGACGGGGGCAGGCGATCGGTACGGGCTGTGAGGTCCACGGGCAGGGACTTTAGGCTGGTGAGGTCCGACAGGGGCAGGCGGGTAGGCTGGTGGCGGTGCATCGAAAAACCTGACGCCTGTAAACTCCTGAACCAAGCGCAGTGGCCTTGCTGTACATCGTATCTCCATATAACAATAACAGGCCAAGCAAGGCCAAGAACAACCATACAATCGTGTACACTTTGTTCGACTAGCACACCCTCCCAACACAAGGGAAAATCGAGTTAGTACGGTTAGCGGATGTAAAACGAACAGCACTTGCTGAGGCACGGCGCCACCGACAAAAGAAACGTTAGTCGATCTGCTCCCGCGCAAGAAGAAAATGCTGTGAAACCACTTGGTGTTAAGCTGGGTTTACACTACAGACTTTATGTTGGCCAAGTTGACGAGTTGGCCCATTTTGCAATTCCGGCAACTCGGCTTTGCCGAAAAATAGAACATGTTTCTAATCTTCCCCAACTAGTTGCTATCGACTTGGTTGGGTCGCGGCAACTTTCGAGCTGCTGTTTTACTACTGCGACATTGTCAGTTGTATAGATGGGAAGTTGGGCTCCAATCGCCAACTCCGCCAACACCAAAGTCGGCTAGTGTAAACCCAGCTTTAAACCTAACAACAGAACGCCGATGAGGTCACTATAATCACGGAAGGAGCAAGGAAGGATTTCTTCAAACAGCGCCGCAGCCAGCATACATCGATACAATCACCTGTAGCAGTCGCCCTGATAATTCACATGGAGCGATCAGCAATCTGTAGCAGAGCAAACGCATTATGAACGCCTGTAAAGCCTCACAGCTCGGTCGAATACCACCTGTAAATGTCGCTGTAATTCACCGTGAACCATAGCGAGTCATGCAGCCTAAGCTTTAACCTGATGACCGTCAAGCCCAGCTTGTCGCAGCAAGCAGCCAAGCGAGTCACCTGGTCAAAGATCTTCCATGTCCATTAAGCCCCTCGATCACCGTCATAGACTTTACCTTGCGTATAAGTCACCTTGAGTTGCGGAGAACTCACCGTCGTCTGAAGAATAGTTGGACTCCCGTGTTCAAAAGTTAATTTCTACCCCTGTAATGATACAGCATTGATGTACACACTGCTCTAATTACGTGCGTGGGTGTGGCCGAGGTCGCTGTTGCTAGAGTCACTAAATCCTTCAGGGAGTCATTGTTCATGCATGCTGTGATACAGGGACTGTCAATATCTGTATTTGTGTGAAACTAGTTTCGCTTCCTTCTCTCCGTGTTAGTTCTTTCTTTGAGTGATAGTACGCGAGTTGACCGCAATTAACTACATTGTCAGGTGTGCAAAAACGAAAAATATTTTACGATTGTAAATCAATGTTTGCCAAATGTATATATACAGAGCTGGTAATAGCATTTGGCTGCTATAAGAAATAATTATATTAACATATTAACATATTAACAAAATATTAACAAATAGTTTGGTTGCTTCACGTATATTTCATTGTGATATAAACACTTCAGTGTGACTGATTGTATTTGAAAATTGCACGCTCAGTTTCATGTAACTCCTACAGCAGAATTCGACCACAGACAGCTTCCTAACTGTGCATGTATTTATTCATTGCAGCACCTCTGCCATGTCTCTACTCTACGAGTGCATCAACACTGTGATAGCAGGTAAATATCTCTTGTTATTGCTGTTGTGTTGTCCGTTCTCCTGGTGTTTTGCCTAACGCGTTCACAGACAGTGGCAGAGCTTTTCGTTGCTCTCAGTGCTGCGGTTGATTTTATGTTTATTAGAGTAAACTGGTTAGTAATGAAAATGACATTACCTGCACCATAACTTTCAGTGCGAGTCATTTCAGCATTCATATAAAATTACATGGATATTGCCCAAAATAAATAGATGTGAAGATTTCTTAAAGATTGTATGTATAGGAAATTTAATTACAATACAATATATATCATGAGCAATTCACTGTAAGTGCAGTGTGGTGCAATGTAGTTGCTGTATGTTACATAACTTAGCTTCTAAAAAAACACACACTTGTTTGTGTGTTATCACTGCACATAAGAGCTGTTGCATGCTTTACTGAATTAATTAGTTGATTAAATATAGAGTCACCAGATTAAACTCTTGTCACATTTATTGCACCCATCACGTCGCTCATGCTTGTTGGATGCATTCTGTGTCAGAAGTTTTCTGTCACAATAATCCGTTACCTGCAACTATAGATCAGTTGGTCGTTTGCTTAGACGTAAACCGGTAATTGATTTTATACATCTGGAATGCGTAATTTCAAGTTATTTGCTAGATATGCACCAAATAGCGTAGGTCTACACTACCACTGCCTGTTTAAACTTAATTTCGCACAAAACATTATAACCACGGTTTTGATTGGCACTGCCATGTCACTGCTAATTAGCACAAAATATTAGCCAGTGTTTTGATTGCTACTGCCTGATCTATGGCATTTTTGCAAATTGTGAATAACTAGTTTATTTTACAAAATGTTGCTAAAGAGCTTTGTAATTTTTCGAAGGAAGAATTCTTGATTACAATGTAGTGCTAGTGTAGTGGTGGTGCGTTTCCCGTTCACCGCTGCCGCCCTGATTAATCGTTGTTATCATAAAAATAAAGTTTATCTCAGTTTTGGATCCATAATAACAGTTATAAATACTTCCGCTTATATTAAACTTGACTAGTTTGAGGAAGTCTATCGGAGAGATGGATCCTGTCGGACCTCGCCAGCCTACCTGCCTGCCCCTGTCGGACCTCGCCAGCCTACCTGCCTGCCCCAGATTATCCTGGCCTGACGTAATGTCTGTTTATTTTCAGAATGAATTCGGAATATGTTCCTAACAGTCGAGTTGTAGTCCCCAAACCCTCGGTTGCAGTAGGGTAGGCTAACATTAACAACACGGGTTTAAGCTTACGCTAACTATCATCCGGTGGAGGAAGCATGTGAATTATAGTCTGAGCAGCGATTTCACGCAGATTTACATATAAACTACATTCATCTGTACTCAAATGAGCTGATTCTCCTACTGATCAGTCATGAAATTCAGGTTTTCTGCGCAGTTCACGTCGAACTGAATTATAATGGTGCAGGATGAGAAACATGTAGGTGGTCTGTGTTGAATGATGCCCCCCCTTTTTTATTATATTAGCATTCCTGCTTATATCGTTTGTTGTGTTGTGATAAACCATAACAACACATTTTCAAATATTTCTTAAAGTGCGTTTTTTGTCCATCCTGTTACCACAATATACCGACGGATTTAATAGGCATTACATATACCTACAGAAAAACATGTAGGTAATCGAAGAAATGTGTAAATCACCACGGAGGTATAATGTAAATTCCTAACATGCTGCTCCTTTAGGAATATTCTTGGCTTATAAATGCACTCATGTTGCATGTTTGAATATTGAATGTCTGTAGCAGCATATGGAATCGTAATACAGTTGCAACACTTAGTTCACTCTTCCAAGCACAGTGGCCTGCATATCTGGTTTTAATGTGGTAGGTATATGAGAAGGGAAGCTCCACTGTAATCAACTGTACAATTAGAATAATCAACTGATACGAAGTTGCTAATGTCCCCCTGAGAAGATTTTTCATGCAAATTATACGAGATCACACATAAGTCAATATTTTTGCCACACTGAAATTTATACCAACGAATTGCAGTGAAATCGCTGCACAGGCTATTGTAGTTTTCCGTTCCTTGTTTGGGGCTGGCTGGATGGTGAGGTTGAAATTTTTGGGAAAAATTTCTGTTTCGCGAGCAGCGGAAACCTTCGTCTGGTCGTCTCATTCATCTTGCTGCTTGACAATTGTGTGTCTACTGCTAACATGTGACGGTTCTTACTTACTGTTCCCCTGCCATGTTCTCCCTCTCGTCACACTACATCGAAAATTGTACGCCACTCGTACTTCGTAGTTATCACAGTGAATACAATCTATGGCCAGCCTAGCTCGAGATCGTTTGAGGCTGGTGTGTGATATCCGTATATAACAGACTCGCGGGGGGGGGGGCGCGAGGGTTATGCTCCCAGATTTACTGTCGGACTCCCTGATTATCCATTTTACGTATTCAGGAGTCCGTGTGACTCCTTGAAAATTTTGCCATACTACCTAGTAAGTTCCAGAGCACGGCCTCGTGGAAATACCATATTTTTTCAGCTAAGTAATATCCAAAGAAAATTTGACAGACGTGCAACCGCATGAATCTTAAAAATAAGCACATGCGTTATTGTTAATATCTTTAATTTTGAACCTCAGACTGCGGACTCCCTCATTTTGCTGCAGACTTCCTCTTTTTGAGGGCAGGGTTGGACTCCCGTGTTCAAAAGTTAATTTCTACCCCTGTAATGATACAGCATTGATGTACACACTGCTCTAATTATGTGCGTGGGTGTGGCCGAGGTCGCTGTTGCTAGAGTCACTAAATCCTTCAGGGAGTCATTGTTCATGCATGCTGTGATACAGGGACTGTCAATATCTGTATTTGTGTGAAACTAGTTTCGCTTCCTTCTCTCCGTGTTAGTTCTTTCTTTGAGTGATAGTACGCGAGTTGACCGCAATTAACTACATTGTCAGGTGTGCAAAAACGAAAAATATTTTACGATTGTAAATCAATGTTTGCCAAATGTATATATACAGAGCTGGTAATAGCATTTGGCTGCTATAAGAAATAATTATATTAACATATTAACATATTAACAAAATATTAACAAATAGTTTGGTTGCTTCACGTATATTTCATTGTGATATAAACATTTCAGTGTGACTGATTGATTTGAAAATTGCACGCTCAGTTTCATGTAACTCCTACAGCAGAATTCGACCACAGACAGCTTCATAACTGTGATGTATTTATTCATTGCAGCACCTCTGCATGTCTCTACTCTATGAGTGTCAACACACTGTGATAGCAGGTAAATAGTCTCTTTTATTGCTGTTGTGTTGTCCGTTCTCCTGGTGTTCACAGACAATGGCAGAGCTTTTCGTTGCTCTCAAGTGCTGCGGTTGATTTCATTTTATTAGAGTAAACTGGTTATAATGGAAATGACATTACCTGCACCAATAACTTTCAGTAGCAGTCATTTCAGCATTCATATAAATTTACATGGATATTGCCAAAATAAATAGACGTGAAGATTTCTTAAAGATTGTATGTATAGGAAAATTAATTACAATACAACTTATATCAGAGCAATTCACTGTAAGTGCAGTGTGGTGCAATGTAGTTGCTGTATGTTACATTACTTAGCTTCTAAAAAACACACACTTGTTGTGTGTTATCACTGCACATAAGAGCTGTTGCATGCTTTACTGAATTATTAGTTGATTAAAATATAGAGTCACCAGATTAAACTCTTGTCACATTTATTGCACCCATCTCATTGCTCATGCTTGTTGGATGCATTCTGTGTCAGAAGTTTTCTGTCACAATAATCCGTTACCTGCAACTATAGATCAGTTGGTGCGTTTGCTTAGACGTAAAACGCGTAATGATTTTATTACATCTGGAATGCGTAATTTCAAGTTATTTGTGCTAGATATGCCACCAAATAGCGTAGGTCTACACTACCACTGCCTGTTTAAACTTAATTCGCACAAAATCATATAACCACGGTTTTTTATTGGCACTGCCATGTTTACTGCTATTAGCACAAAATATTAGCCAGTGTTTTATTGCTACTGCCTGAATCTTATGGCATTTTTTGCAAATTGTGAATAACTAGTTTAATGTTATTTTACAAAATGTTGCTAAAGAGCTTTGTAATTTTTCGAGGAAGACTTCTTTGATTACAATGTAGTTGCTAGTGCGGTGCGTTTCCCGTTCACCGCTGCCGCCATGATTAATCGTTGTATTATCATAAAATAAAGTTTATCTCAGTTTTGGATTCATAATAACAGTTATAATACTTCCGCTTATATCAAATCGACTAGTTTGAGAAGTCTATCGGAGGATGATGAAATTTTGTCAGCGTACTTAGTGATGTCATGATCATCGATTATACTCGATCATCGTTGAACAGTGAGCTCGAACCAAGTGCTGGTTATCAAATCATAATCGATTTCATCAAAAAAAAAAATCTTTTTTTAAAATTTGAACAATGAAAACTGGAAAAGTGATGAGAATCAAGTACATGTATTATACACACAGTAGTAAACAGTGCAAAACAAACAGTAAACAGGGCTAAACAAGCACATACATGCCCACACGTACATGCACACGACGTTACGCACACGGCAGGCATTCAACACCCGCGATAACCGATTGTAACCGATCATCGGTTACTGGGTCCACCGATGATCGATTACGAAATTACAACCGATTGACAACACTAGCGTAAGTATTTATAACTTATTATGGATCTAATTACTGAGATCTAAACTTTGTTTTTATGTGAACTATAGAGATCCGATGAAATTATTCAATCGATCGTTGTTGTCGTTGCGCGATGTTTTTTCCGTGGACCTTCCCTCTGACGTGATGTTGTTTCTCTCCTTTACTTACAGTTCTTATTTCTGTATCTACAGGAATGCCGAGCCACACCGCTAGCATTCAGGTACTGTTCTTCTATTTTCCAGCAGTGAGTGAAACAAGTGAGCAAATTGTTGGTGCTTCCTCTGGTGGTGGGGTCAGGGGGTCAGTGGCAATGGTATTCGAGTCGATAACTGGAATGTTGGGGAATTGGTGAATTGTTTTTGGTAAAATTGCTTCCAATTGCATACTTTACGAGGTGGAGGCCATGTTGTTGGGGAAAATAAATAAATGATGTGCTTGCATTTGGAAAAGGGAACCAATCTGACTAGACTAACCTGTCTTAGCCCCCCCCCATTTAGTTGTTAGGGGGAGACAGAAATGGGGATAGGGCAGGGTCTGATGGGTGGGTGGTTATCGCAGCGCCATGTGGATGAATTGCGCTTCTGTGCTGGTTATTGTTCCTTGCTGTAAGTGTATGCATCGCGTACATGTTGTTTGGTGTGTACTGTAGTGCGTATCTGTGCCATGTACACATTGTCTGTGTGCTTATGTGTGTGAGCCATTTACACTGCGTGTGAGCCATTTACACTGCGTGTGCATGTTGTCAACTGCCCACTATCCAACTTGCTGCAAGTGTGCACATTTGTTTATTAGGTAAAAAATTACTGGTTTTATGCAGTTTGTTTATTTGTTTGTTTGTGAAGTGTTTGTTCGTGGAGCCAGATTGTTTTGTTGCACTCTACTACTACATAATTACTCATATACACATAATTACTAATAGTCACCAACCATATATGTTATGAAACCAAGTGATGCTGCTAAGATGATCAAATGCAGTTTGTTATATTTTTTTTATCTAATGAAAGGGTGCACACTCTTAAGACCAGAGGTATTGCACCCATGGGCATTTTTCCATACTGCATGAAGAAATAATGTTTGAAACTGTCCCCCGTAAGAATATAATGCTTTTTTGTTACTGAGAGCCTAGCTGTGTGTTACATAGCTGTGTGTTACATAGCTGTGTGTTACATAGCTGT